ACGATTGTAACGATTCTTCACGCGATACGCAGTTACTCAAGATCTTTTGTCACGACATCCCCCGTCCCCATCGGTCGCTAGATTCTTTATGATAAAAAGAAATACAGTTTCAAGGAAAACTATTACCTGGGAGCATTTACCTGGGAATACGTTTTCAAAGAGAAGGACGATCTCGCAAACATTGCACGGAACAGTCTGTTCACTCGTGAACAGTCGTCCTCGTTCAAGGGTGAACATCCCTCTCTACATTTGTTTAGAGACGTGAAATTTAAACGAATCATAACGTTTGTCATGAGAAAGTAACAAACTGTATCACTCATTAAATGAAACATTATAACAATCGTTACATCAATTATTGTATGAAATATTGTATCAAGCATTGCAGCAAGAGTTACTAAATGAAGTAGTTATCACTGTTTGCCAATGGGAAAGCGAAATGTCAAGAGACATTGGAATGGAGGAGGTCGTTCTCCGAAAAAGAGCCAATAAGTAGAAATTGTTACGTGAACATAAATTGGGTCATTTTCTATAATGGAAAACTGCGAAAGTTGTTTTTGGAAATCAAACCGAACTCAATCTGAATATATGGATTTTGCACAATTCCTCTCTTATCCGTTCTCGCGAATTCCCCGTGGCTCGACGCAGCTCGGCGGGCTGTTCGGCGCATCCACATGCGCCGCACGTCACGTACTTACATATACAGGCCAAGATGGCGCGTACACGGTGCTCGTACAAATTGCAGGTAATTGCAGCCCGCGGAAAGGATCTCCCTCCTACTTCCACGACGCTCGCGGAGAAGTAGGAGGGAGAGCGCAAGGGCTGGCCGAGACCGTGTGAAACTGCGAATTTTATGATTTACAAACCGTGATCCTTTATAAGGGTATATGGATCTGCGCGAGGCGAGCCGCAGTTAAGATCCCGCCCCTGTGACCTCGCGGACCAACCGCGAGATAATTGCACGCCACGGACGATGCACGATTTACTCATGCGATTTACGATTTCGCTCGCTTACGACGAAAAACCGAGCTATGCAAGCGAGATGGAGGAGCAAGCCGAAAAAGTGAGTTAAACAAGGAAGCTAAGAGAGCGAGCTAAAGAAACACGTCGGGGGAGCATACTGAGGTAGCAGGCAAAAGGGTTTACCCTTTGACTCTAATACAATCGAAAACGCTCCTTGAATTTCAGACGTCCGGCTACTTTATTTCCTGATTATAAGTATTTATAGTAATTTTCATAGTTTCTACTCACTGGCTTAAACTAAATAAATAAGTAATTAAGTAACTGGCTTAAAGTAAGTAAGTAAATACGATTACAGAAAAAAAGTAAATGAGTAGAACTTATTCACTATACAAATGTCTGAATTATATCAAACTTTGTATCAATCATTAAATGAAATATTGTACCAATCGATTACACATCGATTATTATATTGACCATTATACGAAATCTTGTATGAATCATTAAATAAAACATTGTACCAATCTTTACATCAATTATTGCACGAAACACTGTGTCAAGCATTGTATCGAGATTTACCTCGCGAAACACGAATCATTGTTTGCCAATTGGAAAGCGAGATGTCAAGAGAGATCGGAAAGATCGTTTAAAAGGAGTTGGTCATCTTGAATCTGTAGGTGGTCATTGTCCGTTACGGTGTTCCTTACAAGGCCATCAGACCTGGAAGATCCTAAGACCTCACTAAATCTTAAAATTCCAACCGTTACGATTTTTGACATTTTTCAGAACCCTCGTTACTTTTATTTCCGACCAGAAACCGAATTTTTATACGAAGACAATGTTAGAGTGCTAAAAGTTGATTCCATCATGTTTTCACGTGCATCGCTTCAACTTTAGCATATTTAAATAATATACTTAAAAACCTCGGTTTAATTATTATCATTATTCGCCCGACTATCGCGATTACTCGAACGTTTCCTCAAACTACGAAGCGCAATTTATAATAATTTATGCAAGTACCACGTGAAAGCGCGCACGTGTTCGAAATATAAGGCGCGTCCGCCCGTATGCATAAACAGTAATCGAAAAATTGTGGCAGGAAAGCCGAAGCATCGTGAGGGTACCGACTTTCATCGTATTACGGAATCCCTAAGTATACATATTGAGCCGAGGGACTAACGATAAGCCTGGGTCTAGGAAATCAAACTTTGACCTTTCTGTAAAAACAAATCGATCCTCATTATCCCGGTATTTAAATCCGACCGAAAGTACTCGACGATTATCGAGTCCCTTGTGAACAGTTGTAGATCCAAATTCGATTTGACTCATTTATTACAAAAACGAAGACGATCTAGCAAACGTAATACCACTCGAGAATAAATTTATCACGGAGTACCGCGTCTAACAATAAACCGGAGAAATATCAGTGAGGATGTTTGAGAAGCCGCGCCTCGAGGTTCACTCGTTTCTTGGCACCTTCGATTGACAATTCTCATGCCGGCTCAGCCAGTATTTGTTCTTTCTTTCCCCATTCTACCTTGGGTAATCACCGATCTTCTCTTCTTCTCCTCCTCTCCCCTTTTCTCTCTATACGCGTCCCCGGCGCATGGACTTTACTGTACGCTCGGGTACGACACAAGGATGTACTCAAGTTAACTATTACGGGGCCCTCCTCGCGGTTTTATAGCTCATCTGGGTGGCGTGCATACCACCGCCATCTTGTTAGCCGCGATTAAATATTGATGCAAGAACGGAAAGGTATTCGCGGAATTGTTTCGTGGAATCTGGGACACCGATTCCCATTCACCTTTTTTCACGAATTCTGAATCACAGGATCCGATTCCGGCGACCGAATAACGGGGAACGATTACACATTTTAGTCAAAGAACAAGACTAATTCCAAAGAATGTGAATGATTGGATTTTTTCATCATATTATATTCATAATAAAAAATTGACATGAGGTTTCATGAGTCAATATGACTCGTCCACTCGCAATTTTGTTCACTGGACTCATTGAAACGTATTATTCGATTAAATCGGCCGAGTAAAACTTCGTGGATGGTATCTCGATTGGGAGTCTGTCCTGACGCAGAAATCTGCGTTAAACATTCGCGAGCGGCGATTCCAGACGAAACGATTCAACGGCTTCCACTAATTCGCTCTCTGCCGGTGCGTGTCCATTATTGTGCAAATCGTCGAGCAGATTGCAGCAGAAGGATAACACAATGAGGGATCTTCGCGCGAGTCTCCCGTTCCCCACGATGGGGTGTCGCGCCACCCCATCGTTAGCGTGCCGAATCAACCGGAAATTCCAGCTTTCGTCGCTTCCGTATTCACCGCGCCATAAAAAGAGAGGACGCTCGCGTGTGCCACTGACGAGAGTAAAAGAGACGAGAAACCTTATGGGATGCTGAGAGACTCGAGGAATTAGCCAAGATAATGCTCGATTGTCATGAAAATACTTGTTTATCGGAAGGGGGACAAGGTGTCTGGCTGTTTCCAGATAATTAGAGATCGTAAGACGCCACCTGGACCCGTGTCTATGCTAATTCTTTCTCCCTTTCTTAACCCAACTCCTTCAATGTTAATCCTTCACCGTTAGAGGCGAAGGGACAATTCGAACAATGAGTAAGTAAAACGAATTCGGAAAGGATTAACCTTTACGTTACCACAGAACGGGAATCGCAGATATTCACAGGACAGTTTCATATTTATAATAGTAATCTCCTACAAGATTCTAAATAGTCATTGAAGGATTCAAATAGGTTTGGTTTTAAGTCTCTCGACTAAACATTCGATAAAGATCTTTCTACTCTTTCTGCATTCAAATCCCCATGAGGTTCTAAACAAGCATCAAAGGATTCAAACAGACTTGGGTTCAAGTCTCTCGACTAATTGTAAGAGTTCATACGAAAAAAGATCTGAGCGCCCGTCGTGTTGTTATAAAATGAAATTGGTTTAATCTAAAACGCGATGGCAATGTGTAAAGGGAGGAGAGGTCAGTCGGGGGAGGGGTGGAAGACGTAGAAGGATTGCCCCGAAACGAGACAACCGTGAGTAGATCGCTTTTAGGATCATTAATTATCGTAGGAAGCGCGAGAACGAGCAGGATACTGTGCGCCGCGCGACCAACCGACCTGGCATGGACGAAAAGGACGCGCCGGGGGAAAGTAGAGAGCAAAGGAGAAGGCGAATGTCGCCACTGCAAACCGAAATTACCGTCGAAGATTAATGATCACGGGCTTTATTACAGGTATTTATAGCTCGCGTTCTAAAATCCAGAGCGCAGTTAACATTTTGTTAATAGCGAACGATACCGGCCCATCGAGCCCTTTGGAAAACCGGCGAAACCTAAGAAAATTTCCATCGATTCGACCTTGCCTCTCATCTCTCGTTTCACGGTGCACGAAATTCTTGGCTCTCTTTTCTTGCTCTCAAGACAGCGGTCACCATGGTGTTTGACTCGGCCTCAGTGTTACAGATGCTCCCCGCGTTTGATCGAGTTTAGCCCGACTTTTAAAATGAAGCGTAATAAAAAGAACGACGGAGAGACAATGTGTAATACGTAGAAGCGTGTATATATACACGTTCCTTAAATAAATCGCTCGGAGTGACGTATTGGGGAAGAAGATTAACGAGCACCGGTGTGTCGTTCGATTCGATACGTCGAATTAACGCGGGACAGGAACGAGGCTCTCTCGGTATCGGTTATTAATGACTCTTAGCCTTTGCCAATGTAAACCTTAACCAAGTGCCGAGCATTCGTGACTCTGGATTAATCGTTACTGATAAATGCCCACGACTCACCCGTCGATCGCGTTAAAACTAGATGAATCGCAGTTAATTACTCTGATGACTGAACAATCGTAAAGAGTCGGAAAAATCTAATGAAAGCATCGTTCATTTTCTTACACGACTTTGCATATCGCTTCTACTTCTTCCTATAAAGAATATAGAGCTTTCTATAGTATAAGATACATCTTTTCCAAAGGAATAACAAATCGTCTCGGGTTCTCGTTGATTGGAAAATTCCAAAAGTGAAGAAACGGGGGTGAAAAGGGGATAAGAAACCGAGCCACCCTCGTGTAATTCCGAGAATCGTTAATCTTACAGTTGGTCGGTTCGAGAACCGTTCGGGTATACGAGGTACGGTTGCAATGTAGATTTTGCAGCGTCGCCACACCCCGACGACCCTACTTTTTAGTAGGCTCTGCAAATATTTGTCACGGCTACCTGAACCATCGGTGCGGACGATCGTATCGGAATTTGATAACGTTTCCTTTATGTAATGTAATTACTAGATAAAATTGTATCGATAAAGAGCACATATCAAAAGAATGTTTAAGGAATTATGGTAAATAAGGCAAATTTATATAATCCTAATGAAAAATATGATTAACATAAGATAATGTTAGCTATCGACATTTTGCATAAAATTATTGACTGGCTAAAGTCAAGGGCTTGTATCTCCCATCATCTCAGAACTCGTGCTGCCCTCTAACGACGACATTAATTTAAATTCAAATGATTCCCTTATCAGAAATGATATTAAAACTGTGTACGTCATGTGAATATGCGACTAGTACTTTCAAGATCTCTTCTATGTTTTGTTTCACCTGAGATTAGATCAAAATCCGACGAAAGGAGTGTACGTCAATAAAAAAATGTGAATAATTCAAAAAGAAAAACGATAAAATATGAACCGAGAGATTTATACATTACCACCGTCGCTATAATTATAATAAATTCTATTGTATTAGAAAAAGTTCTTGATCGTTTCACGGTAAAACTGAAGTACTACAGTGCCGACGAGATATGCAAATTCTCTCGCGCAAGCGCATTATAAGTAACAATGATAAAGTGATAATGTAACAGAACTGGTGCGAGGAACAAGTGAGATAAAGGACAACGGACGATGAACGGAAGGGGGTGTAAACCAAACGGAACTGTCGATACACACTTCCAAACAAGATCCATCAGTGCGATTCGACCTTTCGAGTTCAACCAGAATCAGTCCGTTTCTCTTTAAATCTGAAGCACCGAGGATGCCTGGCTCGATCGACAGTAGAACGAGAACTCGCGTTACGACGTGATCTAAAGGTAAGCAGAACTCCCAATTTACTCAAATTCCAAACAACTGACAGATCGAACGTCGATTCTAAATCGCTTGGACAACCCTGACGTCTGTCTCCTTTCATCCGACTTTCTCTGGCTTTCTCTAGATATCAGTAACCCTGAACCTGAACGCGCGGCGATAAAAAATAAAGTAACCGACAGCGGTGCAACAGAGGAAATGTCCAGTTCGAGCGAGCTGTCTCGATCGCAGGAGTACCTCAGCTTTCGCAGCTCTGTTCCCCTCAGAAAAATCGTCGTCGACGCTGATGGTGCCAAGGTAATCTTACGTTTCAATAAGACTATCTATCGAATCGATCTTACGATCCCCCTAAGAAGATTTCACGAACCGCGAATATGTTTTTATAATTTAAAAAATACGACGATTCAGGGATGGAGAGTGTACGACTCCAGTCCGAAAACCGTCAAGTGTCCACTCGTGTGTCTTCCACCGGTCAGTGGTACAGCCGATGTGTTCTTCAAGCAGATACTTGGCTTAGCGGCCAAAGGCTACAGAATCATATCGGTAAGTTTCGATCATCGACCCTGCAAATCGTTTTCAAATTGGAAATCGCTCGTATAATATTAATTCTATTAATTAGACGCCCGGTCATTGACATATGAATTGATTCAGGCATATATAGACGCACAAGTGTTAATTTTAATTTCAGGCTGAACCACCTGTGTATTGGAATATCAAAGAATGGTGCGACGGATTTCGAAAACTATTAGACTACATGGAACTGGACAAGGTGCATCTATTCGGCGCCTCATTAGGTCAGAACGTACGAAGAAAAACGTCGTTCAATTAAATAAAATTCTACATGATTCACAAATGAAATGAAACGTATTGTCGTAATTTCCAGGTGGATTTTTAGCACAGAAGTTCACGGAAGTGAATGCTCACTGTCCGAGAGTCGTATCATTGATACTGTGTAATACGTTCACTGATACATCGGTGTTCAGTTACAACGACTCCGCTGCAGTGTAAGTATAATATTTTTACACTCGTTCTCTAAAGATCTAACTGTAATCAACAAATTTACAATCGTACACCACGCGTTTGCTACGAGATAAGAGAGTCAGCGATACGTTATCTCTATATTCTGCGTGTAATTACTATTGATCGATTTGATTCGCAGCTTTTGGGTTCTGCCGTCGTTAGTATTAAAGAAAATGCTGATGGGTAATTTCGTGACGGACAGAGTCGACGGGGAGATGGTAGAAGCCATCGATTTTATGGTGGAAAGGGTAACTATTTTTTAAACACCCTTTCCGACGTGTATGTTATTTATATTAAACACGAAGATCACGTTTTCGTTTAAAGTTGGAGAGTCTGACTCAACCTGAACTGGCATCTCGATTAACGATGAACTGCGTCAATTGTTATGTTCAACCGCAGAAGATATGTCACCTGCCCGTCACGATTATAGACGTGTTCGACGAATACGCGTTATCGAATCCCGTGAGAGAGGAGATGTACAAATGTTACCCGAACGCGAAACTGGCACATTTGAAAAGCGGTGGAAATTTTCCTTATTTGAGCCGCGCCGCAGAAGTAAATTTACATTTACAGGTATTCGTCGATATCTACGAGAAATAATATTTACGTCTACTGTGTCGATCTAAGGTAAACTGTATTTACAGATTCACTTGAGACAGTTTGAAGGCACCGAGTACGCGGCTTCCGAAAGAACTACTCCGTCGACCTAGCATTTGAAAGCTTGGAAAAAAGGGGGAAGAGGAACGATTTCCGGTTATGATATCAATATACATACACATATGTTCCTCGATTACTTATTCTGACCCGCGACTCGCCATATCAATTCTAGGCCGAGATCTGTGTATATAGATATTAGACCTGTGCAACGTTAACTCACGTTTTTATAGCCAATACGGCCTGTTATATTTTCGAAGCGAATATTTATCAAGTTGTATTTGAAACATTACCAAATGATATTGTATATTCTATAAGCAGAAGAATATAAAAATAATGTTTACAGAGAAGAATTCAAACGCTGAATCAAATGGATTAATCCACGGTACATGTTCCAAAATAACTATGTACTTGTCCTGAATAAAAAGATTTGTTTTCTTCAAAATCATGCGATCGTTCAAGGCTGAACCTACCTACCCTATCCCATTATATCATCAACCAAACTCGGCAAGTGGCAAGTTTGTATCTCGTCTCTCGCGGTGAACGAACTCTAAGGAAGTACGCTTAAGTACTTCGCAACACCGGTCGACTGAGAGAGAGACCGTACAAGGAACTCGCCGGAGTATCGATTTCTCCATACATTTCTCCCTCCTAGCGAGCTCGGATTACAGGGCCTTTCCTGTCCGTCTCTATAGGACCACGTTTACTTAGTTACTCCCTTACGTACCACCGGCTGCATTAATTACGCTTGTGCACCGAACCGCAGACGCGTAGCACCTTCGCGGCTGACCTGGTTGCCTCTCAAGAACAAAAGCTAACGCGATCCTCGTTACAGATATATAGAGACGAACTATAAAAATACTTGACACAGTAAAGTATAGTTCCCGTCAAAAGTTAATTATCAATTCCCTCTTTGGAAATTTCTCAATGACTGTCCTTGGTTTCAAGGCTCATGGAATTTGCGAGATTTGAATTGTTTTATCCCACAAGATTATTTTGATAAGATCGCGGCTAAGCTGCAACTGTAATCGATACGATCCTCAACGCGGGAAACGAACGAGCGTTTGAAAGTTCAGTCGCTCGAGTGGTCGCGCCGCGGCTGGTCGCTTCTTTCTTTCCCAGCCGCACAACGATCTCATCGTACTGCACATAACATTACTCCAGTCACTTTCAAACGCGCGTGAATCTCTTCCTTTAAGTCACACCATAAAATCTGTTAGCGTCGACCGAAACTAACAATAATTTCGCAATGGAATCATTGACGAACGGATGCGATCGATACGCGACAGAGAAAACGGAAATCGTGAAAAACAAATACATCCGGTGGTGAGAGTGTAATTTGATAGTGTGACACATAATCGTGAAACAATTTGCCGACGTTTCCTCGACTCCTGGATAGACGCCTGGGGGGTCGATCGATCGAGTTAGATATCTGTCGCGAATGCCCGCAGGTGCATCGCGCCTTAAGCAGAAATCGCGGATTCGAAGTGAAAGGAACGCCGAGCTCGATTTTGTTCAAAATACCGGGACGGGAAAAGTGTCACCCTTGTTTCAGTGTACACAGTGAATGGTACGCATTCTATCGGTCTAGTACTCTTTACGACAAATTATTAATCAAAAGTTTCAAAATTCAACAATTGAAAAAGAAAGGTAGTGTACGTCGAGAACACCGAGATCAGAGATATATACGTTTACACGTGCTTCACGTTAGTTGGAGGATCGAGTTACGCGATACCACTTGCGCGTTTCCTGTACCCGCACACGTTACATTAAACAGAGATTTTCGTGTCATATCATTGAGGAGAAATCTAGGTAATTGCGGCTTGTGACAATCCGCTGCTGACTCACAGTTCGTATTTATAATGATGCGTCCTCTCTATTCAATGGGATAAAATTGATACGAATCAATTACGAATTCCACGAGTAGTAAACATGGATTTGTGATTGCAGAAGAATATCGAGGATGGAGAACTGTGATTTGATTGAATTTACCTAAACCTTACATGCATCTGCGTGTTAAACATCCTGGAATTGCTTCGTCGATTAAAACGAACTTAGAAATGGAGAACACGGAGGAGCAGCAGCCTCCCTTGTTCGAAAGGAGAGTGAGCACCTTGACAAAAATCGCCTACGCTTTGGGACACATTTTCAACGATCTCACTGCCGCTATGTGGTTCTCCTACACTCTGATCTACTTCCAACGAGTAGCCCTACTGGAACCGATCACTGCCGGCTCGCTCTTGCTCCTAGGTATTCAAATCTCAGTTCAAAATACAATATAAATCTTCGTAAGAGAGATTTATATAGTCCCTGGTACAATAGACATGCTTTGTAACAAAGATTTATAATGATTTTCGAAGGCCAAATCGTGGACGCTTTAATGACACCCGTGTTCGGAGTACTGGTGGATCGATATTTAAGAAAAAAAATATGGCACATAATCGGATCTGTAATGGTCACTTTATCGTTCCCGATAATCTTCGGTGGTTTCGCGCAACCATCGTCTACCGCAGTGATGCTGCTTTACATATCCAGCATTACCGTGTTTCAAATCGGTTGGGCAGCGGTACAAATATCTCACTTGTCCATGATACCAGCTCTGACGAATTCCTTACTGGCGCGAGCAGATTTAACCGCGATAAGGTAACGAACCATTGTCTTTAGTTTATACTTTACAACTACGTATTACAACCTTGAACACAGGTATTCGGCGCAAGTAGGAGCAGCTATCGCGGTGTTCGTAGTCGCATGGATAGTCTTACCCACCAACGAGGAGGCTGTCGTGCGATTAGATCGACAGGACAGTTATAAATTCAGAGTGAGTTCTATTACGTTATCGAAACCGCAGATATTACACGTTTAATCGTTCGAATCTCGATAGCCTAAAAAATGTTAACGTTTCCCTTGCAGAACATCGTGTTGACCTTAACAGCTATCGGTCTGGCAACTACTGTGCTGTTTCACGTATTTCTAAAAGCTGATCTACTGGAGAATTTCGATTTGAACAAAGGCAATGTCGAAGAAGCTAGAAGATTGATCAATAATTCTCAAAATGACCGAAGCTCTTGGCTCGGCACAACGATTTTATTGAGAGTGGCTATGCTTTACGTAGCCAGCAGATTGTTTATTACATTGGCGACGGTGTACTTACCTTTGTACATAGAAGAGACGGACGTCGACGGGAAGGAAGCACTGGCTACCGTCCCTCTGGTCTCGTACACTTCCTCCTTCGTCGCAGCTCTGCTGTTGAAATATATAAACAAGTCTTGCGGCACGAAGGTGACTCCACTGCCTGCGCATACAAACATCACGGCATTGCATCACCCTGCAACTCTTTTCAGATATGTTATCTTTTGGGAACACTGATTGGCATACTTTCGGGGGTTGTCACGGAGTACGGAGGGAATTCCGCGATAATCATATATGTCGTAGCTATCCTAATAGGAAGCGGAAGTTCGATCACGATGATCACGGCTCTGAGCGTAACCGCGGAAATAATAGGGCCGCGTACCGAACGAAGCGCAATCGTTTATTCGATCGTAACATTTCTCGACAAAGTCGTTACGGGACTGGTCGTCATTTTCATAGAAAAATGGTAAAATAATTGCTACTGAATCGTACCAATAATAGTTTGAAGGTATTTTTCACTGGTTGACTTCGACAGGAGATGCATGGAGCCCGAACTTTGTCCAAGTTACAACCGGGATACTCTGGCCTTGGTCTGCGTTCTCTCAATGTCTATAGGACTCGTCACGCTGCTTTCGATTTCGCGATGCTTAGGTTAACAGGATCACACGATTCAACGATACTTTTATACTAAACTTGTACAAACACTTTTTGAGAAATAAACGAACTTTGAATGTAATCCTTTGAAAGGCGCAATTCTGTGGCGAGTAACGTGAAGTCCGCCATTATCGACGACTAGTGACGTCGCCGTCAGATGGCGACACGCAGCACCGAATGCTACAGACGCAATTTCTCGACCGGCGTGGTGGCATGGACATGAAAGGTACGATGACCTACTCGATTTACGTGGGGAATGGCGGTGCATAGTACAAACGTAAAGAGAGATATTCGATCCTGCTCGGCCCTTGTGCCGGGTGTTATCGTACGAAACGAGTACTTACGAGTGAGATTTGGGAAAGGAAGGGGTACACAGAATAGGTAGTGATGCCAGTCGTACGGACGAGCAGGCCTCAGGAAACGAGAACGAGACCGAGTCGGACGAAGAGGGAAGCTGTTTGGTTCTTGATCGAAAGACAGGTTTCTCTATCTGGAGAGAGGGAGAGTGAAGCAGAGGGACGAAGGCGAGCGAAGGCTCGTTGGAGTTGGAGTAGCACGAGGCAACGAGAAACGGCGCACACATCGCGGCTCGTGCGAACATGGCCCGGAAGGTGCGCGGTGAGTTACTGCGCAGAGTCTTGTTTTGCTCGGCTGCGAGACGAGGGGAGAACGGAGGCGGACGCACGTTCTCAGGGCATGGCGTGGTGGTGCGCGTTCTAGTAAACAACTTGTGTCTGAGTCGTGCGGGTAATTCGCGTTTGGAGTATAATCGTGATTTTTCTAGCGAATGAGCGCGATACCGACGCCCGCAATGAAGCGTGCCGTGCGTGTATAGATCGTTCGGCAAACGTCGTGTAACGTGCGGTTGATCACGCGGTGCAATATTTTAACCAAAAATTCAAGCACCTCACCGCCACCGGGCCACCTCGTGTGTTCTCGTCCAATGTGCGTATGTTTACGTGTGCAGTACTCTGTTTACGTGCGTGCATACTCGTCGAACAAGTGTCCACCGTGCTCGACCGATTTCCACCCGGTGTCACCGACTCGCCAGCATTCTCGAGGTTTCGCCGGGAACATCCGGGATTCCTCTTTGTTCCGATCAAACACGGTAAGCGAGTTCCTCGGTACCATTTTGATACAACCTTCCATTCACGTTTCCGATTCATGAACTCCGACTGTTGGACGCGCACCGCGAAATCGTGGGAATCCTTGTTCCTTCGCAACCGCGTTCCTCGCGCCAATGCGTAGTAAGCGGATCGATCGTGTTTTGATTTTCATCGATCGTCGCTTGCTGTCAAGTTTGTTTCAGCCTCGTTCTCTCCAGCCTCGGTTGAAGTGAATGGACGAACGCGCAAAATAAAGACGCGTGTAAAGGAAGCGCGCGCGATCGTTTACCTTGGACGTCGCTTGACATACGACCGATCATGGATATATAACTCGTCTCCGGTTTCCTTTCGGCCCGATAAAGATCGATTCGGCAAATGCAACGTGTCTACGCATTGTTTTCCGTCCTACCGCGATATCGTCAATGGTAAATGATGGAAAAATTCCGACAAGATACTTCGATTAATAAAGTACTCCTCGAAACGAATTACTGTTCTTCAATAAAAATGTCTTAACATGAGCATTGTCGTCGATTCTCGAATTGCTCGTACGTTGCGACGACATGTGAAACTCATGTGCGTAGTTGGAGCGTGTTCCGTTCCCTCGTGGGGTTGGTAGGGGAATCGGGCGAATGTAAAAATGGCTCGATGAGGAAGGGCGAGAGCGAGAAGGAAAGAGAGCAGGGTCCGGGAACGTGGACTAGGAGGCAAATAAAACAGTGACGGTTAAACAGAGAGAAACGGTGGTGTTGCGTCGTGGACGACGACGACGTCGACGACGGTAAAAGGTCCTCGAAACGTCAATAGGCAGAGCGGCTATATCGCATTCCACGATATTTCTCTCTTTAGTCAGTGACCTCGCGGCTGCTCGGCCAACCTCGTTTCGTCGCCACGTCTCGCCTCCTTGTTTACCGCTCTCCGCCGATTCTCTGCTGTCTCTCCCTTCTGGTCTCCTTCGGCCCCTTTCGCGAACAAACCGTCGTATACGTATATTTAGTAAGGTAATGTAGACGGTCAGGCGGAAATGAATGAGAATTTTTTGGAGCCACGATTACTAGCTTTTCGGCCGTCTTAATCGATTTCGCTACGAAGAGACTACGAATCGTTCGTTATTGATATGCCAAAGTAGATTTTTCTCATGTCGCTCCATTTGACCGCGAACCGACTGACAATGCAATTATGAATTCTTCTGCCTCGCTTGCTTATTATTCTCGGAATAAACGATTCAGTAGCCGTGGGCCGAGTTCTCAGTACGATCCGGTTGGAAAAGAGTTGCCAACTTTTTTACGCGTGATCGACATCCTGAAAAAGCGACATCGAACGAGTATAACTCCGCGCTTCGAAGACGACCAAGAGGATCTGTTTACATGTGGACGGCCTTGGTTCTGCCGGGTTATAGTAGTAATTGAATAAACAGGGTTCGTAAGCGTGCGTATCGACGCAAATATTCCCATTGTTATCCACCCTGTCCTCGTCTACATCGCGATATCCGAGAAAAGGGTCACGCAGGCAGATCACTTTTCCTCGTATATCATTCGAACAAACGTAGTAAAATGAATGGAATAAATATATGTCGTAATTGATAAAGCTATGAAACAAATCTTCCTTATCCAGGCATCGAGTGGAATAGAAATGGTAAAGTAGTTAACGTTCGTTCCGTTCGTTGAGTTAATTACGTCGGAAAAGAAAAGTCAAACTAATTTTCGGTATCTTTATCGGAACTGAGAATCCCGTGTTGGGTAAACACAGTCCGTATTTTTATTGTAACCGTCGCACGTGGCGCAAGCCAGTTGCGTAACGTCGTTCACGTATCACGAGTCGTGTGTTCTCGTACGCGTCGCAAACAAAATTTTTATTGCGTTCACCGCTTCATCCTTACGATCTGCGCCGCGAACTCACCGGGTATGTAAGTAACTCTATTTTCCTGTGCTTGCGTAAGAAAACACGAGCCGACGCTGCGCTCCTAACTATCATATCCCTTCCAAAGCGAAACAGTTCTATTCGCAACATTTTCCTTTTGTCTTTCATATATTCGTGAATGAAATTTTTTAACCGAGGTTGCTCAACAATTATTGACGAATGACCGTGTTCTTATCACGTACACGCGCGTCTTCGAATGTATCTTCGTCAGTGTTGAACGCTCGTTTAAAGTTTCAAGGAACTTGTTGAAAGGTCGCATACGACAGAAAATTTTATGTGCGACGGCGAGATACGATGTTTCGTACAACATTGTGTAATTTCGAAGTCCGGCCGGAAAGTGTGCGAGCGTGAGCAAAGGGATGAAAAGGCACGTGGCAGTCTGTTGAAATTGGGTACGGTAGTAACTCCGCTCTAGAATGCTAAATATTCGCGTACGAGACCACGCGTGTAATCAACGTGAGCTTCGCGGTTGAAGAAGGTCGCGACGTAGACTGAACATTATCAGAGGGTATACAGTTTCGAAGAACACTGCGTTATGCTCTCTTCAGAGTGGCTGATGACAGCGATTCATCCCGATAGCCTCCTGTTCATAGCATTTAAATTGTTTTATTTCCAATTCTTGCGAAACGTTTCGTAAGGCTCGTCGCTTTCACTGAAATCATCGACTCACAGTCGATTTACGCCACTATCGTAACTGTAGCAAACGTTCACGTCGGTAGATTCTGGCATCTTATGCAAAATGTAACGGTTGTACGTGCCAGTTTAAGAATTATGTGTAAATTGGAATTTCACCAACGATAACGTGAATTACACTTTTAGAATTTTGTACATGTTTTGTTCGTATCCTCTGCAACGTTCGCTTTATCGTGATTGCGGTTTAGTTCCCACGACACGTGTGTCATTGTATAAATCCTATGATTTTCGATTCGTGATTAGTACGAGTTACGCAATACCTGTCGAATATGCGATTCAATTGATCGATTATTCGATAATCCAACAATGTAGCACATTATCTCTGTATTACAAACTCAGACGCGCAACTTTCGTTTCACGTTCGGTATCGCCTTCAATGGTACAAATTGATCGTTACTAATTAGGCTAGTGAGCTGAACCCATGCCCGCTTCTATTTGCCAGTTGAAAACACGAGGAGACAATTGGAATTTGAACCCAATCAAGATCGCACTTATACTGTTACAATATCAATTAGGATTTATCTTGTGAAACACGTAGCAGAAAGTATAGCGAGCTATTAACGAGGTATTGGGAGATGATGCGTGGGAAGAGAGGAGCGACGAACTGCGGGTGGCGCGAGGAATCAAAGAGGTTCCGCGAGAAACAAAGAGCGCGGCGGAGTTAAAGAGGATGATGAAGCACGTTTAAGAGAGAAAGAGGAAAGGATGGGTGCGCCCTTCTATCGATGCCGTTGCTCGGCCACGTTAAGTATGCAAACTGTGGAGGCGCGCGCGCAAACGAGCCCGTTGAGACGACGATGGGTGCCGGTTCTACCTTCCACGAACGACATTTCATTCGGCTGCCGCGATGGGAACACGCCGCATTCCACGCGTGCGAGTACACACACTCCGGTACACGCGTGTCCCGAAAGCCTGACTACAGCCGTAGGGGAAGGGCGTCTATACGGTTCTTTCGAACACTTACGTGTTAAAGGATCTCAGTATCATCCGTTTCCCACTTCGATCTGGACATTCAACTGTTCGGAGGATCGAGAAAATCGTCGAATTTACTGTTTCACTCTTGAACGCACGTTGCAATTTTTATCTGCAATTGTTGCAAACTCGGACACGGTCACGATTCTTGTATGCTCTTAAACGCATGTGGATGGGATTTTCATTGTGATAGATTTTTCCCTCCCGAATTCCAAGGGTGAAAGCTCTCGAATGGCCACGTTAATCGTTCCGTATCCCGTTGAACTAAAAATCCATCTCGACCTATTTCCTCGTTTATCGAGCGACCTACTCTACTAGATTAATTTCTGTCGCTGCGACACGAAATCCCGTGATTCGCCAACACTCCAAGAAATTTTAATGCCTTACACTTTTCTAGAATGTGAGAACCGACGGATCCGCTCATTTATTTATACCGTAATAGAATCGCTCTACCCATCGTGTAAAAGCTGATTTAGTGAGAATCATTGTCCAAAATGTTTAAAAGCTTCATGAGAGTGACTTGCAATTTGTTCGAATGGAAAGGATATATTAATTCGATCAGCTTCATTTAACGAACCAAAAGAATAATCAATTTTTTATGATCATCTTGCAAGGACGCATTGATTCAACCAGCTCCATCGTACGACATCTTTTAACGAAGGAAAAGAGGAATATTTTATATCGCCACTCTTATTGACTCAGCCTGTGTAATGGCACAGTTTGACCCCGTTGAAAAATTAACCACCGCTTTTACCTGATCTTTACCCCGTTCGTCTACAATTATTCGATCGATCTAACCCGAAGATCGTGGACTTAATCGAGCGCGAAACCGAGGCTATCGAGTTGCAGAACAGGCTAGAGTTGGACGAAGATGGCGAGCTACCTAAAACTACGTCGTGCCGACGAGTTCTGGCCTTACCTTTTTCCCGTGACGTTCCATCGACGTTGCCGCTGACGAGGCTTCTCTGTTTACGAGCACCCACACGCGCTCGCACAGCCTTGGCACATATACTCGTGTGTGCCAGTGTCGACGCGCGCGTGCACAACATTTGTACGTGTTACATTTATGCTCGAGACTCGCAAAAATTAGGTAAACCCGGTGCTCGACTTGTAAATGACCGTGCACGTAATATAAAAATTGGGTCATTCGAGTTGTATGAAAGTGTAACGAAATTTGTCGTAAAATAACCTGCTGGAACCGATGACCTAATATTTGCAGAGAGTAAGGTTTAATTCTGTGTTTACGCGTCGAGAGAGATCGAGATAAACCCGGATGATCCTGTATGCGAAATCCCATGATCCTTTTTGTCCCTGCCCTTTGCCACGTTTCACCCCGTAAATTATGCAACGCGCAGAAGCGGTCGTTTGATTATTCGCCGCCGAATCGGCGCGCGGAATGTAGGCCGTCCGTTCTCTCCCA